ATCTGGCTGCGCCGCCCACCTGGCTTCACTGGGTCTTTCCCTCCTGGTACCCAGTGGAGTCTCCGGCGTCCAGTCTACGGTCTCCGCCAGGCGCCACGTGAGTGGCACGACACACTGAGGACTACGCTTGCGGCTCTTGGGTTCGCTCCGTCTACTGCCGACCCGTCGCTGTTTCTGCGCACCGACACCTCTCTGCCGCCGTTCTACATCCTCGTGTACGTCGACGACTTGGTCTTTGCCACAGCTGACACTACTGGACTCGCCTACGTGAAGTCCGAGCTGCAGAAGAGACACACGTGCACTGACTTGGGTGAACTGCGCAGCTACCTTGGCTTGCAGATCACCCGGGACAGAGCACGCCGCACCATTACCCTGACTCAGTCACACATGGTGCAGCAGGTCCTTCAGCGCTTCGGCTTCACGTACTCCTCGCCTCAGGCCACTCCTCTGTCTACTCGCCACTCGATCTCAGCTCTGCCTTCGGATGAGTCCGTAGAGTCGAGTGGCCCGTACCCAGAGCTTGTTGGCTGTCTCATGTACCTGATGACCTGCACACGACCTGACCTTGCATACCCTCTTAGCATTCTTGCACGCTCTGTTGCTCCTAGGAGACACCGACCAGAGCACATGGCTGCAGCGAAGAGGGTGTTGCGCTACTTGTGCAGTACGTCGGGCATGGGGCTAGTGCTTGGAGGGCGGAGTCCAGTGGTCCTCACTGGACATGCAGACGCTTCTTGGGCTGACGACCAGGCTACGCAGCGGTCGTCACAGGGTTACACCTTCAGCCTTGGTTCCGGTTCTGTTTCGTGGCGGGCTACTCGTTCGTCTTCTGTTCTTGGCTCCAGTTGTGAGGCTGAGATCTACGCAGGGGCCATGGCTGCTCAGGAGCTTCGCTGGCTCACCTACCTGCTGACTGACCTTGGAGAGCTGCCTCGTTCTCCTCCAGTCCTGTACGTCGACAACAAGGCCATGCTGGCCTTGTGTCGGGAGCAGAGACTGGAGCACAGAATAAAGCACATTGCTCTCCGCTACTTCCTTGCTCGTGAGCTACAGCAGCGTGGTCAGTTGCGACTTGCGTACGTGGCCTCTGAGGCCAACACTGCTGATGTCTTCACCAAGGCACTTCCGCCTTGTGATCATCAGCGCTGCTGTACCCAGCTGGGTCTTGTGTCTGTCTTGCCTCACTTGCTCTCCTCTTGACCCTCTTTGTACTGTTACATATATATATATATATATATATATATATATATATATATCACTGCTCTTGCTTGTTTAGTCTTATATATATATCTGTACTATTGCATGTGAACTGGCCTTGTGGCCTTGCACTTGTGCTTGGATTGTGTGGTGACGTTGTGATCCACCTTGAGCTTGCTTTGTTTTCCTTTACTTGACTGGTCTTGTGACCCCTAGTTCTCCCCCACTTCGCCTATGGGGGTGTGTCAAACATTATATATGTTGTTGTAGTTGTTTTGGCTACAGTGGGTTGGCCTATAGGGGGTACACATTCCTAGGTTTTGATACTTGTACTCATTTCACCCTTAGTTCATCCATTCTTGTTCAACAAGGGAGAGAGAGAGAGAGAGGGAGAGAGAGGGAGGGAGAGAGAGGGAGAGAGAGAGTGAGAGAGATACATAGAGAGAGAGAGATAGAGAAAGAGAGAGAGAGAGAGAGAGAGAGAGAGAGAGAGAGAGAGAGAGAGAGAGAGAGAGAGAGAGAGAGAGAGAGAGAGAGAGAGAGAGAGAGACTCTTTTGGGGACTGTTTTGCGGTCATTGAGCCGCTCCTGGATCTCCCTTAGGCTTAGCTGGATTGTTAGATTAGGCTTCTTTGCATGCTGGTTCTTGCTTGTTCTACTTTGCATGTTTGTACCCTCCTGGCTTATCAGTATACGGACCATTTGAGAGAGAGAGAGAGAGAGAGAGAGAGAGAGAGAGAGAGAGAGAGAGAGAGAGAGAGAGAGAGAGAGAGAGAGAGAGAGAGAGAGAGAGAGAAGCGTCGGGAGTTCTGCAAGTGCACGTGAGGGGATGGGGGAGGCAGGACATGAGGTTGGAGGATAGCAGGGTGGGCGAGTAGCGCATCGGTGCGAAACGGGAGGGGAACAATGACCTTGGCAACCTCTTTCGAGAGTGAAAACCCAAAACGGTGGAACACACGTTGAAGCGAGAGAGCTTAGATTAGGGTTGAGGGGCCAGTGGCACCAAGGCCCCCATGTTTCTACGACCCTAGAATCTTGGAGAAAAAGGCTTTTGAGATATATCTGAGGGCCCATTCCTGTGACGGCATTTGTGTCTCAATCCCCATTTTTCCGAGTCGCGTCGAAACATTTTCCCGAGTCGCGTCAATGTCGCGTCACAAAAACTGAATGTATCGCGAAATAATGCGACCTGGCGAGATGCACTGACGAACGCATTTGATTGGGTGACACAGATGACTGTACACCCGTTCCTTCAACCGATTAGCAGGGGTGTGGATCCCGCGCGAAATTGGCATCGCAGGTAGACCAGGTGCATTGACATTAGGGGCCGCGTGCGGTTTTTATAAATGACGAGTTGTTTACCATTCGATAACGACGTCAGTGCGTTTCACGCTGACCAATGAAAAATATAGTAATGGTCACTGGCACGCGACTCGCGTTTGAGACACACTGCAGTCTATGTTGTTTTTGGGTGTCTCAAAGCGATTGAGACATTTGTGTCCACACAGGAATGTACCCTAAAGGCAGTGGCACTGAAGGTTGTCAGAATGTTATTATTGTCTAGCCTGCAGTGGGGTACTCTATAGCGAGTATAACCCAATTAGGGTTTCCTATATGTATCTCAACTGCTGCTAGTGCAATCCCTCCTTTCTTCATTCTTGTTTCTGACTGCTAGTTTTGACATGCTATTAGAGCAGGTCGACCCTCCTGGGTCGATCATGTGGGTGGGCCCCACCCGATGCTTCCGCTGCTCTACTGCTGTCGCACGCCCCGGGCGCGCGACCCTTTCTTCCTGCCGCGCACTCGGAGCGCGCGGCGTTTTTCATCCCGCTGTGCGCTCGTGGCGTGCGGCGGTTTTCTGCCCGCCGTGCGCCCCGAGGCGCGCGGCAGGTTTCCTGCTTCACGCGGCGGTTTTCTGCCCGTCGTGGCGCCCCCGGGGACCTGCGCGCTGCCCCCCGTCGCCCGTCGCGGCGCCCTGGGGGCCCGCGCGTCGCCCTCCTCCCGTCGCCTCGTCGCGGCGCCCTAGGGGCCCGGGCGCCGGCCCCTCCCGTCGCCTCGTCGCGGCGCCTTGGGGGGCCGCGCGTCCCCCCCTCCCATCGCCTCGTCGCGGCGCCTTGGGGGCCCGCGCACCGCCCCCTCCCGTCGCCTTGTCGCGGCGCCTTGGGGGCCCGCGCGCGGCCCCTTTCGTCGCCCGTCGAGCCGCCCTCGGGGGCCCGTGTGCGGCCCCCCTTCCGTCACCTGCCGTGGCGCCCTCGGGGGGCCCGCGCCCTGCTCCTTCGTGGCGCCCAGGAGACCCCCCCGCCGCCTCCCTTACCCTCCGTGAACCATCCCTGCTGCTTCCCGCGCTCCTGCCTGCGTTAGGGTTTGGGGGTGGCGGGCATGGGGGTGACCGGTGTGGGTAACCTGCAGCTCCTCCTCCTCCTCCGTCCCACTGCTGCAGCTGCCGCTAAGGGGGGTGGGTGTGTGGGAGCCGAAGGTTTAGGGTTTAAGGGGGGTGCCGTGGGAGCGGAGCTAGGGTTTCAGCAGGGGGTGTGTGAGAGGGGTGTGGGACGGTCGGGGGAGGTTGCGTGGAGGCTGCCGTCGTGTCGCCTGCAGCGCCAGTAGTCCGGAGTCGTCGTGCTCTCGGTAGCCCAGAGAGCCTGTTGTGCCTGTCGCCCGTGGGTCCGTTGATCTTGCCGCTCCTCGTAGCCGCCGAGCCAGTTACTCCAGTAGTCCGGGGCGCTGTCCCGGTAGCCACTGTGTGCGCGCTCCTGTTGCCCGTGTGTCTGCAGCTTCAGCCGTCGTCTCCAATCTTCTCTCCTCTCACAGTCCCTCCTCCTCCTCACTTGCCCTCTGTGATTACCTCTAGCTTTGCTTGTAATTGGTGAACTTACTTTATGCCTGCTTGTTGTGCTGATCATACCCCACATTGACTATGGGGGTGTGTCAGAATGTTATTATTGTCTAGCCTGTAGTGGGGTACTCTATAGCGAGTACAACCCAATTAGGGTTTCCTATATGTATCTCAACTGCTGCTAGTGCAATCCCTCCTTTCTTCTTTCTTGTTTCTGACTGCTAGTTTTGACAAAGGTCCCCATGTTTTTACGACCCATGGAACTTGGGAGATGATGGCCGAATTGTCAGTGCCAAACAAACCCGTTGAATTTTGCAACGTGAATGGCACTGACTAAACTAGTCTCCACAACCTTCATGCGTTACCATTCACCGTCACAATCCTACTTGCTCCGTTAACAAAAAAAAGAAAAAAGGAAAAAAATCAAACTCCTAGTACGCAAGGAAGCATCATTACATGCATTCCTAATAGCCCTTGGCAAAGCCCTTCACTTGCGCATTTTTCACCCCCCCACCCCTCCAAAAAATAAAAAGAGAAGGTTATATTAACACAATCTCTACTCCTGTTTTCCGCCTCTCCAGTCTCACCATCGCATCATGCTGGGGAAAGCTGGAGAGGAAGAAAACAGAAGGTCCAACAGCAAGCTCACACCGGAAGTGGTCAAATTAAAAAATTCAACTCAAAAAGTCGATTCCGCTCCTTCGTCTGCATCTGTTATCTCTGTTATCTCCATTCCATCCATTCCATAAGTCGCCAGACCTCCTGAGTCCTCAGCAATCACCACACGTTGTCTCGGTTGCGACGACGACGGGGTTGGTGCTACTGCATCAGAAATAACGGCTGGTGGCTCAGCTGGTGATGCATCTGCTGCTGCAGGATGGGCAGTAGTGGCAGGCCGTGCAGACAATGTAGACTGCTGTGACGACGGATGGTCGTACGAACCCGCAACCATGGCAAGGACGCTTCGTGTGTCAATGAATGAGCTTGGTATGTGCTCCGCGATGCCAATCAGCTGATTCGAGAAGAGCTGCTGCTGTTGGTGCTGCTGCTGCTGCTGCTGCTGCTGCTGCTGCTGCTGCTGCTGCTGCTGCTGCTGCTGCTGCTGCTGCTGCTGCTGCTGCTGCTGCTGCTGCTGCTGCTGCTGCTGCTGCTGCTGCTGCTGCTGCTGCTGCTGCTGCTGCTGCTGCTGCTGCTGCTGCTGCTGCTGCTGCTGCTGCTGCTGCTGCTGCTGCTGCTGCTGCTGCTGCTGCTGCTGCTGCTGCTGCTGCTGCTGCTGCTGCTGCTGCTGCTGCTGCTGCTGCTGCTGCTGCTGCTGCTGCTGCTGCTGCTGCTGCTGCTGCTGCTGCTGCTGCTGCTGCTGCTGCTGCTGCTGCTGCTGCTGCTGCTGCTGCTGCTGCTGCTGCTGCTGCTGCTGCTGCTGCTGCTGCTGCTGCTGCTGCTGCTGCTGCTGCTGCTGCTGCTGCTGCTGCTGCTGCCAGTGCTGCTGTTGCGGCTGATGATGCTGCTTGTGGTGTTGCTGCTGTTGCTGGCTCTGATGTTGCTGCTGGTATTGGTGTTCCTGCTGTTGCTGGTTCTGCCGTTGCTGCTGGTGCTGGTTCTGGTTGTGGTGCTGCTCGTGGTGGTGCTGGTGTTGCTGCTGCTGCTGCTGATGCTGGTGCTGCTGCTGCTGCTGCTGCTGCTGCTGCTGCTGCTGCTGCTGCTGCTGCTGCTGCTGCTGCTGCTGCTGCTGCTGCTGCTGCAGCATCACCGTGTGCTGATCCCTGACCTCAGTCTCCTGCTTTACCTGTATCCCTGCCGCTTGCTGTAACGGTGATAGCCATTCACTCCCACACGCCTCATCTGTCATTTCAGAATAAGTGTTCATGCGATCCCCATGGATGTGAATCGTCGCGCTGTCAGCCACGCAATGAATATGACATCCCGAACCACCGTTGGCGACCACAGCACCATCATCACCTATCGTTCTGGTACCATTACCTAAGCAGCTAGGAGTGGTCCTCATTCTGCCCGCATGGCCATTGTTGGGTGTGCTGCCACCAAGGCTACTGTTTTGCATGCTGTTTCCAACATCATAAGTTGGTGTCATGTGTGCACAATCACATGTGCAGCACGGAGCATTTTGGCCAGTATCTGAAGGCCATGGGAGAGACTGCTGCTGCTGCTCCTGCTGCTGCTGCTGCTGCTGGTGCTGCTGGTCTTGCTGCTGCTGGTTCGACTGATTTTGCCAGTTTTGTTGCCGTTCCTGAAGTGGGTGCTCACAAATGACTGCCTGCGAGTTCTGCACCTGCACCTGCTGCTCCTGTTGCTCCTGCTGCCCTTGCTGCTCCTGTTGCTCCTGCTTCACTTGGACTTGTTGCCTCGCACCGTGCGACAAGGGAAATTGCTGCTGCTCATACCAGTTATGCTGCTGCTGCTGCTGCTGCTGCTGCTGCTGCTGCTGCTGCTGCTGCTGCTGCTGCTGCTGCTGCTGCTGCTGCTGCTGCTGCTGCTGCTGCTGCTGCTGCTGCTGCTGCTGCTGCTGCTGCTGCTGCTGCTGCTGCTGCTGCTGCTGCTGCTGCTGCTGCATCTCCTGCTGCTGCTGCAGCATCTCCTGCTGCTGTGGCTGCTGTAGCTGCTGCAAATGACTTCCTTGCTGCTGCTGCGGCTGCTGCTGCAGCAGGTGCATGCCGAGCAGCTGCATGAGGTCTCCCCCTTGCAGCATCGGGTCAGAGGGCCCGAGGGTACACTCCTCGTTCAGCAGCTGATTCAACACGTCCATAGACACTCTGGGCACGCCAGGAATGACAGGCACGCCAGGAATGACAGGCACGCCAACAATGCCAGGCATGCCGGCAGATCCAGGCACGCAGGCAACGCTGGGAACGGCGGCGGGCACGCCGGCAATCCCAGAAACACTGGGAACGCTCGGAACGTTGAGAACGCTGGGAACGCCCGGAACCCCACCAACAGAGACAATGGCAGGCATGCCAGCAAAGCCAGAAAGACTATGAACCACAGGAAGGTTGGGAAGGCCTGGACCGCTGGAAAGCCCACCCATGATCCCTTGCAGCAAAGACCCTCCCGAGACACCACCATCCATGCCTTGTGCCAGAGACGCTCCCTGCATACCACCACCTCCCACCATTTCTTGCATCAGAGGCACCCCTGGGATACTGCTGCTGTTCAAACCACCACCCACCACCTCTTGCACCAGTGACACCCCACCCATGCTGCTGCCAGTGCTGGTTGTGCCTTCTTGCTTTACTGGCAGCACTGCTGCTGCACCCGCTCTTGGCTCTCCTGAAGACGGTGCAGCAGGGAAGGGAACGGATGGGTCGGACATTAGCTGAACCTGAAAGGCCCCCTCGCTTGTTGCTACTGCTGCTGCTGCTGGAGGGGTGAGGGAACGTGGGGCGGTTGGTTTTGAGTACGGTGGAGGTGGGAGGGGAGTGGAGGTCCGCGTGGGAGGGGATGACAATGGGGTGGTTGAATAGGAACTTTCGTGGAAGGATTGGCTTCTGCTGGGATGAGGGAGGGTGGAGAAGGGTTGATTCTGCTGCCAAGGCTGTTGCTGCTGCTGCGGCGGCTGCTGCTGCTGCTGCTGCTGCTGCTGCTGCTGCTGCTGCTGCTGCTGCTGCTGCTGCTGCTGCTGCTGCTGCTGCTGCTGCTGCTGCTGCTGCTGCTGCTGCTGCTGCTGCTGCTGCTGCTGCTGCTGCTGCTGCTGCTGCTGCTGCTGCTGCTGCTGCTGCTGCTGCTGCTGCTGCTGCTGCTGCTGCTGCTGCTGCTGCTGCTGCTGCTGCTGCTGCTGCTGCTGCTGCTGCTGCTGCTGCTGCTGCTGCTGCTGCTGCTGCTGCTGCTGCTGCTGCTGCTGCTGCTGCTGCTGCTGCGGCCACTGCTGCTCCTGTTGCGGCCACTGCTGCAGCTGATGATTCGCTCGTGGCATCGATTCATGCAGCAAGCCCTGAGCCGCCTGCCACAGCTGAGGGAACTGTGCTTGCGGGGACTGTAGGTGCGGGGACTGCAGGTGCGGTGACTGTATTTGCGGGGACTGCAGTGGCTGGTTCTGCTGTGAGTGCTGGGCTTGTGGCTCGGGAAGATGCTGTTGTTGGGGCAGCAGGTGTGGCGGCTGCTGCTGCTGCGAGAGAAGCTGCTGCTGCGATGGTTGCTGCTGTTGCGATGGCTGCTGTTGTTGCAATGGCTGTTGTTCCTGAAAGGGATGCTGCTGCTGCTGCTGCTGGAACATTGGATAGTTTTGCTGGTTTTGTTGGATCAGGCTTTGCGGCCGCTGCTGTTGTGCTGCTGCTGCTGCTGCTGCTGCTGCTGCTGCTGCTGCTGCTGCTGCTGCTGCTGCTGCTGCTGCTGCTGCTGCTGCTGCTGCTGCTGCTGCTGCTGCTGCTGCTGCTGCTGCTGCTGCTGCTGCTGCTGCTGCTGCTGCTGCTGCTGCTGCTGCTGCTGCTGTTGTGGCTGAATATTCAGCTGGTAATGCTGCTGCTGCTGCTGTGGCAAAATATTCTGCTGATAACGCTTCTGCTGTTGCTGCCACTGCTGTTGGTGCTCATTTGGCTGTGGCCAAAAGCTCATCTGTTGCTGCTGCTGATGCCCCGGCTGCATTCCCTGAGCTCCAGTCTGCTGCTGTTGCTGTTCCAACTGATGCACTTCACTCTGTGCCCACAAGCCGTACGCTTGCGCGGCGCCCATCATCCCTTGCACTTGTTGCTCCACCGCCCCTGATGTGCCACCGTCCGGCCTTAAACTTGACCCACCATGCAGCCCCAACGCAGATGCATTTAATCTAGACGCATCGCCACCTGCACCTCCTGCCATGGGTGCCATGGCCATGGACGATGATTGAGGCGCCCCAAGAATCGTCTTGTTAGATGCAGCGCATCTGGACGCATCGCCTCCTGCACCTCCTGCCATGGGTGCCATGGCCATGGACGATGATTGAGGCGCCCCAAGAATTGTCTCGTTAGATGCAGCGCATCTGGACGCATCGCCACCTGCACCTCCTGCCATGGGTGCCGCGGGCATGGATGATAGTTGCGGCGCCCCGAGAATTGTCTCGCCACATGCAGGAGGTGGTGGGGAGATGTAGCTGTTTCTTATGGCGTCACAAGCCAGGCACGGAAAGGAAGAAGCCACAGGAGCAAGAGCAGCGGCAGAAGCGGTAGGTGCAGCAGCAGCAATGGCTGCGGTGGCAGCAGCGACGGCAGCAGTGGTGCTAGTGGCAGCAGCAGTGGCAGTGGCAGTGGCAGTGGCGGCAGCAGCAGCAGCAGCAGCAGCAGCAGCAGCAGCAGGAGCAGCAGCAGCGGTGGCCGGAGCAGTGAGAGAAGGTGGGGGTGTCATTTGCTCCCTTCGAGCATCCATCACGTCACATGCAGCCACTGCAGCAACAGTATCGCGAAAATCTGCGGCGGTAACAGGGTTGCCACTAGGAGCGCTGCTGCTGGTGGGAGTGGTTGTCGCATTGGCAGGATAGACCGGAGTGGTAGGAGTGGTGGGCTGCGAGGGATGCGTGGGGTGCGAGGGGTTGAGGGTGAAGGGTTCGCTGTGCAGCAGCGGCGGGTGGTTGTGCTCTCCAACGTATGAGAGGCCCAGAGGCCCGTCTGAGGCGATCTTGTTAAAGTCGACGATGCGCTTGGCCTGGCACTCGTGTGATGAGTCCCTCTGTGCGCAGCAGAAGTAGTGCCTGGGGGAAGGAGTGAAGAGGAAAGCAAGGGGAGCGACGGGAAGCAGGAAGGGGAAGAGGGACAACGGGGAGGGAGAAAGGGGAAGAGATTGAGAAAGGGAAGGGTTCGCTGTGCAGGAGCGGCAGGTGGTTGTGCTCTCCCACGTATGAGAGGCCCAACGGGCCGTCAGAGGCGATTTTGTTGAAGTCGACGATGCGCTTGGCCTGGCACTCGTGCGATGAGTCCCTCTGTGCGCAGCAGAAGTAGTGCCTGGCGGGGAAAGGGTTCGAGGGGGAGAGGGCACGGAGGGGAGAGAGAGGGCATGGAGGCCGAGAGGGTTGTCAGAGGCGATTTTTCTAAAGTCGACGATCTGCTTGGCCTGGCACTTGTGCGATGAGTCCCTCTGTGCGCAGAAAAAGTAGTGCCTGGGGGGTGTAAAGGGGGGTGGAGTGGGAGGGAGGTGGTAGGGGCGAGGGAGAGGGGAGGGAGAAGGACAGGGAGAAGGGGGAAGGAGAGAGGGAGGGCGGAGAGGTGGGAAATGTGGGAAGGAGGGAGGAGGTGGAGGTCCGAAGGGAGAGACACGGACGCAATCTAGTAGAAGTCCACGATTCGCCCCTAGTGCGCAGTAGTTGGCATGGCACTCGAGCGATGAGTCCCTCTGTGCGCAGCAGAGGTGGTGCCTGGGAGAGAAATGTAATGAGAAAGGGGGCTCAGGGAAAGAGGTTGAGAGGGAGGTGGGAGAAAGGGTTATCCACGCCCATATCAAGCAGAGATAAGGGTGGGAAGACGCTTTCCGGGCTGATGCCTGAGCTGCTAAAAACCCAGAATCATTGCCTTGATGCGGACCCTGAACCCTGGCCTCCAGGCGCCTCAAAATGCGGACCCTAAACCCTGGCCTCCAGCAAGCATCACATGGCACAAGATGTGCATCATTCATCAGGTACTTATTAAGTGGTACTTAAGTCAGCCGGATGAGAAAGAACTAATCAGAAGCACTATCGAGTCACCTGGTCATGACCATTGGTGTTGGCTCCACATACTCTTACCGTGTGTACACTCCGCCTGATAGCTCCTTCTGCCTGTACTTGAGCCACACGTAGCCGTTACGAGGGAGGCGATGCGGAGAAAGAACCAGTCTGAACTAAAGCACTCCCGATACCTGGTTCTGACCACTGCTGTTGGCTCCCCATACTCTTACCGCGTGTACACTCCGCCAGACAGCTCCTTCTGCCCGTACTTGAGCCACACGTAGCCCGTTGCTTGCAAGGGTGTCGGTGAGAACGAACCAGTCTGAAGCACTAGTGATTCACCTGGTTCTAACCTATCGTACTGGCTCAACCTGCTCTTACCGCGTATAGATTCCGCCAGACAGTTCCTTCTGCCCGTACTTGAGCCACACATAGCCGTCGCGAGGCAGCCGATGCTCGAAGAGAACCAGCTTGGACCGCTTCTTGCCTCTCCTGCTTTGGGAGCAAAGAGGGGTTTTGAATGGGTGGAGTGGGGTGGAGTTGGGTGGAATCTGATGGAGTGGAGTGGAAGCACACCCGAGGGAGCCGATGCTAAAAACAAACCAGCTTGGACAGCTTCTTGCCTCTCCTGCTTCGGGAGCACAGAGGGGTAGGGTGGAGTGGAATGTGATGGAGTAGGGTGGAGTGGATTCCCATGCGTGTTGCTGCGGCAGTGCTCGAAGAAAATCAGCTTGGATCGCTTCTTGCCTCTCCTGCTTCAGGAACACAGAGGAGTTATCGAATGGGTGAAGAGGGGTTGAGTGAGGTGGAACGGGGTGGAGTGAGGTGGAGTGGGGTGGAGTGAGGTGGAATGGGTTCACATGCGTGCTGCTGCAGCTCGAAGAGAGATTGGCCATTATTTTGCCTCTCCTGCGTTACAAGCACAGATGGACTGAAAAATGGGGTTCGGTGGGTTGGGGATGGGCTGGAAAGAGAGGGGGGGGGGGGGGGGAGGAGGGGAGGTGTGGGGGTGGAGCCGCAGGCATGAGCAGGTGGTAGCATCCCGAGGGAGCAGAACTACTGAAGCCGCCACTTGCTTCTCCTGCTTCATAGGAACGCCATGTTCTGCTCGTGGGAGCACTTTGAGGCGCATCGGAAACTCGTCTCCTGGTTCAAACGATCGCGTTCTGCCCGTGGGAGAGTAGCAGCATTGCGTGGCCTCCACGCATCTGGCAAGGCTGCATCGTGGCAGAAGAGCGTAGAGATGTAAATGTCGCTGCAGGACACACAGACAGGAGGCAGCAGAGACTTTTGAGTTGACTCAAGAGTCTCCTCGTGCTCTGCTCCTGCACGTGGGGGAGAAGCAACATTGCTTAATCGCCACGCATCTGGCAAGGCATGCATCGCAGCAGCAGAGCGTACAGAATTCAATAACGCAGCAGGATACAAAGGCGGCGGCAGGAGGCAGAGCCTTCAGCAGAGCAGAGCCGCGGCAGAGCAACGGAGGGCGTGCAATGCGCTGCATTGCATGGCATGGCGCCGCAGCTGAGAGAATAAGTTGCTCAAAAGGTATTTAAGACTCGGCGAGTCTGGGCACGGAACCCTTTGAGTTGGTCGCTTCCACGGGTCACATTTGGAAGGCCAGATTTTCCACGATGGACGATATAGTGCGTGATTCACGTCTGTCTGGATTGCAGAAAGCAGCCGGATTCGTGACAGCCGGATTCTTGACAGCAGTTTCCGCATTCTAACCTACTGTGTTCATTGCGGCCACGTGAAGACAAGAAGTCTAAGAACCTATTTCAGAATTGTCCACGGCTGGGCCACATTGGTTCAGATTGGCCCATAAAGTTTCCCTAAGACACTTCTGTTAGGTCATTGACATTCGAGAGCTTGGGGGGAGGAATCCGTGTGACAGCCTGCCAATTTCGGCGGCGAGATACTTACACCTACGAACAGGATCAGATACATTATGAGTCATCTCTAACCTAGATCTCAGAGGGTGGTGGGATTGTTTTTTCGAAGCCACAACAGCTATTATTCTTCTCGATATTATTCTTCTCACACCGCAACATCGCCGGGGGAGCTTCACCTTGCATTGTGTGTTTCCGCAGCGGCACCGGCAAAGCCAGCGTCAGCCGCCGCAACCGCAGCCTGACTCCCGCTCGGCGCGCTGCTAGCACTCCTCGTGCTATGCGTCGATCCATCCGTCCTCGATCCATGGCCGTCCGATCCTTCTAGCATTGAAGCAGCTGAGCGTTTGCTAGAGGATTTTCGTAGTTCTGGCTGACCGGGACGGGGAGGTGAGGCAATGTCACCGTTTTTCGCGGAAGTAAGCGGGAGACATTCGGAATGAGTGTGAGTTTTATTGACCGCCATTTCGGCTGTAGTTCCTAAGTCTAGGTTTTGCTGCTCGTCGCTAAGTAGAGATGCATCGTCTGTTGTCATTCTCATCGTGAAAGTAGGTAATAGCAGGGGCCTCGACTGTGCAAAGGTGTGCGTGTGCCTAAGGATGCTATACCCTCCGACACACATTTGTGTGGACTGAAAATTCTCTAACGCGGCATGGAGGTGATGCTTACAGCTAGGGTGGTGGTGTGCAAGACCAAGGTCGGAAATGGTGAAGCTGGTGGAAGAGGTGGAAAGCACACTTACTTTAGCCCCATTTTGTGTTTCTTGCTACCCTGCAGCAATGGAGGTGAGGGTTGGGTGGAACCCCCTTTGGTGTACACCCACACCCGGCTGTCGATCGTTGTCTGCCTCGCCGGGTTAAAGAGGTCGAGCGTGTACGTTGAGGAAGGATGCGTTTTTGGAGAAAAAAATCTATAACACGGACAATTCGGGTGGTACCAAAAAGGTTAGGAGCGGAAAGATTTAAAGACCCGCACGCGACTTGCCCACAGGGACCCAAGATTTAGCTAAGCAGGGATCTGATTGAACGCAGATCAGAACTGAAAAAAACATACTGTAATTTTCTGGAATGTAGCACACTGTATTTGTGTAATTTCATGAAGGTGATACCTAAACAAACAAACACATTGACGCAAGAACAGTACACCCTGTTTCTCGACCCTCTCACCTTGCGCGATTCGCTGCTACAGTGCGGTCAGGTGCCATAAACCGTATGGCTGAAACCTGCGGGCAAAGCCGCACCAGCTGACGGAGTGGTACTGGGGGCAAAATTTTTCTTTATCGCTGTATACCCTTTTCAACCGCTTTGAAACGCTTGGTTAATGTTCTTTACCATGCAGCATCCTAGCTAACCGCTTTCTTGTGAATGTGCTTGTACCGTCGGTGATAAGACCATTTCAAACGTGGTGACGTTCTACAACCTGTGCATGTTCTGCAACCAGATGCTCTGCTAGCGCGAAACAGGGTGTAGCAGCTGCAAAGGCAAGAAGAACACGGTGGTCTCGTTGCTACGGACAGACTCTGCCGGGACAAAGTACAGCACAGCAACGAGTGGGGCAGGACAATTTTGTACACTATCGGCCAGCAGCAGCTGTTTTCAGAGGAGAACTTCACTGTAATCATTGCAAGAACGAGTTGGTACACTGTATAAAGTCAAAGCGCGTTTCCAAGTCCCTGTCATCAACGTGGGGTCCCTCAGGATCCTACCCCACAAAATTTTACAATCTCATGCATGGTTTCAAATGTTTGACACACACTTTTGTGGGGTAGAATCGTGTGCCAGGTCGGAACGAAGTGTACATTGATGGATGTGGTCCACACAACAATGTACTAATCTTTGTTTTGGACTGATTTCTGGAGTCGGATACGTAGTCCTTAAACAGTCCTTAATCGGATACGTTTAAGGACTGTTTAAGGACTGTTTAAGGACTGATTTCCCTTAAACAGAGAAAACTGTTAAACGATGGATCCTGCTCACATAAATCGTGAACCCTGAAAACACAAGCAAAGGTCTGGGCAGAGCGCTCAATCTCGCAGTATGGCAACTGTGTGTCGTCGACACTTGTTTACCAGCTAAACACATGTCTGTACTGGCTGTATTTCTTTTCATGCTGGACGCACACATGATTAGTAGGGAGGTTCCACATGAAACCAACGGGCAGAAATTGTCACAGACTGTAAGCAACTGCTCAACGGGTTGGCACAATGCTGTTTAAAAACGTTTCTCCTTTGAGAGACGACGAGAGTTGGGCTACTGCTGCTTGCATGTTCCAGACTTCATGCCCATATGAAATACACTATACGCTCACTTATGGAATGACAATCGCACACTCATTCCCGCCCACATAATGTACACACTTGCAACATACATCTCACTTGTAGCGAACTTGTCATGAACATTGGTTGCAAAAGAGCTATACCAGGTTACGAAATTCCTCATTTTTGAAAGTTATTATTTTCTTAAGTTCTTCATTTTATATAATTAGGATCTGACTAGTGATGGTTAAGGCCTGGTTTAAAAGTACAGTAATTTCTGCCGTGGCCTCTGTATCTGTCAATCGGATCAGTAATGTTTAAAGTACGGTCAAATTTTCCGCAACACTCCGTTTGTGTGAGTCTGTCTGGGTGATCGCACGTTTGAATGATCACACGTGCCTTACCAGCAGGATTTTTAGCCCTCGTTTTGGGCTCCTTGGGCTTTTATGACAACATTAATGAAGGTATCTTGGGAAGGCAAAAGCTGCTCCGTAAGTGCTGGTTTCCACAACTGCTCACCAAATGTTTAGGTCTGTAGTTCGTTTGCGCACGTGGAGGAATGTATGAGTGTCGTGTCGGTACCGTTTAGGTTGTTGCTTGAATTGGGACAAGTGTGCGAGCCAGCTTCTTCTCACCAGCGACCAACTTTCAGAGAGGGTTGAATGAAAATAAGTAAAACACTTGTGCGACCAAGCATTGTTGCGAACCACCGCAAACCCTATGGCTCGTACCTAAGTGGCGTGGGGACGCTTTATGTACTCTTTTGGTTTCGAGTGGGCACATCTCGGGTTCCCCACGGGGTCACAACGCAAGTCATTTCCCACAGGGCCCGGTGTAGAGGGAGCCGTTTGGGCAGCCCACTCCAGGATACCTTGAGGATGCCAAGCAGTATTGTTGGGTTGGGGTGGAATGCAGCAATGCGATCTCGGCACGTGGGCATAATATATTCTAACATCAAACATCTCGACATCCGTGGGCAGCTACCCCTAGTGTATCCTAAACAGTGGTGTTTAGGAATATTTTTCGTTTGATCTGCACCACCGCGTAAACTGTAAGCTTTAGAGCACAGTGTACACTCACAGTAGCGCCCTTCATATGGCTTGCTCTGACTGTGTCACTGTAGTCGTGGACCATATGCATGTACGCGGAGGCCGCATTGCAGTACTCTTTCCCTTCCCACCACACCACACTCCCATAATAATGATTTGCTTCCCCGCCTCCCGTCCCCCAACTCCTTCCTCATGGCGCATCTCGATCAAGAATCGAATCTCCGTGTGAGGACGCAAT